AGCGGGCGGCCGGCCGCAAAGTGACAGGCGGAACCAGCCACACCAGCAACAGCGCAGAGCGGGGAATCCGTGCGTCCCCCGCCGCCCTCGGAAGCGCTTTGCCGTGTTTGAGTCTTTCGGGAAAAAAAAAAAAAACAAAAACCAAACAACAAAACCAACAACAACAGACCGTGTTTCTGCCCTCGGGGAACGAAGTATTGAAACCCTTACAAGTTTAAGCACTCTCTGTAACGGCACGGCAGAGGAGATCACTGTTACTTCTTTAACAAGGATAGGAATAAATGTGAGCTTGCATTACAAGTGGTGAAAATTTCTACACTAAAATTAATTTCTCGGTGGTGACAGGTCTCAAGGAAATGGGTCATTGCTGTCCTCTTTAAAGAGTATAGCTGTTATTCTCTGTTAAAAAGTTTGGAGAAGTTTTTAATCGCCAATTTAAAACTGTTACCTCTAGCAGTGTGTGTCAACCAAATAATCCTGATAAAACGTGTGGAGATCCTGTTGCGATAAACTTCAAAACCACTGTATTTGCTGTCTCGTCATGGCACAGTGATCTGAAAATGGTCGTTTAATAACCAGGACTATGGTTTTAGCTGGTTATTGCTGTGTAGTGGCACTGTTGATAATCTAGAAGTGGCCTGATTGCTTGTTAGTCATACACAAATGGTAAGAAAGGTGACTGGGAGAATGATGTAATGAGAAAGAAAAATTCATCATACTTTTTATTTAGCTGTCATGTGGTAATGACATTTTTATCTGGCCTGGTTGCTTATTACAACATTCTGTGATCTGTGTGAAACAGAGCTAGATTCTGTAGCAAAGAGATAGCTGTATTGCAATGGGCACCAGTTTCTGGAAGGTTGTTAAATAAAGGGTGGTCAGTGTGCATAACTAATCAGTTAAGGTATTTAAATTTATTTGATTACAGGGAAATCTGCATTTAATTATGAGGCTGCCTGCATTCCAGAGTTGCTGGAATTCCAGAAAGCAAATAATTGGCATTAATTATCAGAAATAAATTTACTTTGAACTGTTCTATTTGGTGTAGTTAGTGTGTGTATAGTTCTCGGTGGCAGAATGTAAGCTAAAATTTTGCATACTCTGCACCCTGATGTTAGGCATTTGGGGATGCCACTGTATGTGGAAAAGGTGGTCGAAGCAGTCAAATACGCTGCACACTTCACATGTTGAGGGCAGGGGAATGGTGTGCTTTGGATACAAAGGCTTGTGCATACTAAAGGCAGTAGAAATATAAAGTGTGACAGTTGCAAAGTAGCAGTATATAGAATATACATATTTAGTACTGTCTCACTTTCCCTCAGCATGGGAAAGATAAGTTGCATCAAAATAGGCTACAGAGTTCCAGCATTGTGGATCGATATTTGGCGGGGGGAGGGGGGAGGATGTCAATTCTTGCCTTTTGACTCAGGTGGGTTTTTTTTCATGCCTTTTCAAATGACTAGGAAAGAATGTATAGAATTTGTGCTCGCAAAGTATTATTACTGTATTAAACTTTGTGATTCCTGTTGGATGGGGGGGGCTTCTAGTTTGTGCATGGCATTATGAGCTCTCTGAATTGTGCTCCTACCTGTGGCAGTAGCAGTCTTGACAGCATGTTTATCCTGTGGAGTAACAACTCCCAAGATGTATCAGAGGGAAGTTAGAGCATTGGTACAGCTGAAGCACTGGTACAGTATGCAGTTAAGAGCCGGTTTAGACTTAATAGTTATGTCTTACTATGCTCAAGTAATTTCATAATCAAAATCCTAGTCAAGTTTATTTTGTGTTTGTGGATGCAGGAAAAATGCAAGTGTGGGGTAGGGTCTGAAGATTCCCCCTTCAGTAATGAAAGACCTAAAAGCATTGGTGGTTTGGCACAGTGGAATAGGTAGGCAGTAAATGAATGCATCTTGGAAATAGAAGTATTTGTTATAATGAGTATTTAGTGATTGATTATAAAGTAATTTCTAACAATGTCACAGAAATTATCTGACTACATTGTAACTTGAGAATATCCGTGCATACCCCCACACACCAAACCACCACCACCGCACACCCTAGTTCTTGCTTGCTTAACATTGTTCTTTGCTTTAAAGGTGGCATTAGTCTGAGAAATAAATGAAGTACAGTACTTGTATTGCTGCTTAAACTTTGTGAAAGAGGTGAGGAAAATATGTAAGTTAACTAGTTTGAACAAGTTTCAGGTGGAAGCTATGAAAGAAGAATCTTCTGTGGTTGAAGGAATGCTGTTATAGTTCACATGCTCAGTCTGTCCTAGATGCCTATGAATCATAGTATTTCTGTGCAGCTGTAACATACCTACACTCCAGTATGAAAAAAATATTTTCTAGGTGCGAGACTGCATTCAGAAAACACTGACTGAATGGAGCTCAAAGATTGGACAAGACCTAAATCAGGTAGGAGGGTTGTTATGCATGTTATCCATCTTACATGTGGAAATGGAGAAAAATGTAGTTGGTTACCCCTTTTTAAAATATAAATTAATCTATTAAATTTCTGTAAAGGTATCTGCAGCTCCAGATATCTTAAAAGAGTATTTGTCAGGCCCCACCCCACCCCCCTTTTTTTTTTTTTAATATTTCATGATAATCCTATTCATGACAAATAAGACAATTCTTAGCAAAATACAAGTCCTGGTCTGTCAGATTGCAAGTTAATTCTTGGGGCAATCATGAAAAAAATAATCTGAGTATTTTAGAAGTTTGCTAGCATGCTCGTAAAAACTCAGTGGAAAATTATCTAAACTGTGGAGATGATAAACTAGATAGCTGAAGATTATCACATTTGGAGGGGAACTCTGAAGCATAGCCTTGGCTGTCTCATAAATATTTCTGAAGATGCAGAAGTGGCAATTTTTCTCTTAGGAGCTAAGGACTTCCACATAATTCAGTCATGGGCATTTGACATCAAGATCTTGGTGTATTTGCTTGTTCCTCTTTCACTGCTGATTCTGAAATTCAGCAAAGCAGTAATAAGTTCCCACTATATTCATTAATTGCTCTGTGAAATATTAGCATGTTTCATTTAAAAAAACCAAAACCAAACAAAACCCCTATAAACCTTTACTGACTGTTTCTTTTGTTACCAGTTCTTGTGTAATAGCAGCATCAACTGCACATAGCTGCATTCCACACTGGAGTGTGGTGAGGCAAATATTGTTGAATGATTTGTGGAAGATCTAATGATTTCTCAAGAAGGGAACGTAAATAAATGTTTGTACAATGTAGTGATCCGTTTAAAGTTAATTATTTAGTGTAAGCTAGGTTTTACTGTCAAAACATATTAACTGCATAATTCCAAATTTTTTCATGTATTATATTGGTTTACAGTAATTTAAAAAAGTGAGCTTTTGTTTAAATTGCTGACTGTATGGAGTAACTTGAAGACATACTTGAGGATTTTTTTAGTAAAGCAGCAAAAATAACTGGAGAGTTCTTGGTTGGGGGAAGGGTGAGCGTGGGTGTGTATAATAGAAAAACTCATGTAGGTAAAGAATTAAAAAGTCACCATGTGCTAGCTGACATGAAATGTCAGCCTAGTTTTAAGTGAGGTCAGAGAGTGAAATTTCTGAAACTTCACTATATAATTCTTAGTTTCAAAATTATTGTTTTAAATCTGTATTTTACAGCATTTTCACTGTAGGCATTTCATAGACTTCATTGAAATTACAAAATACTTTTATGCAAAGATGCTCCCACCCAACATGTCTAATTCTGATATGGAGTTTTTTTCAGCTGATCATGAGGCTTTTTTAAGGCAAGGCGGTTTGAACTGGCACAGTGACCTGTTCACATCAGAAAACCAGAACCCTACTAAATCTTATTCTAATAATTCTTATCAGTAATTTATTTTTTCATATTAGGGGCATATAGGGCCTTTCATATAGCTTCATTTTCCTGACCTCTCCTCAGAGATCAAGAACCACTGGGTTTCTTTCCTTGTCATTTCATTTTTATTCTATTTTTATTTCTAACTGCTGTAAGGTGCTTTTTATTATTTTTATTACTTAAAAACATTCTTCAGGAACTTGATGTCTCCTCTTGATGAGTTGTGCTAAGTCTCATGTACTTACTACAGGAAATACTGGAGGTTCTGGAATGTACTGTAGCTCAAGCTATAGAAAAAATAAATCCTGAAGAAAGGGATGAATTGAAAGTATCAGGTAAGAATGTAGTAAAAAATCTGGTGACATAGAAAGGTTTCATATGCAGTCATTAATAGGATATTCATATATGTAATTTTTCCCGCTGTGTTATGTAATTGATAATCAAATGACATCAGCGCATATTGTCGTACTTTGGGTAATCTAGAAGCTGGCTAAGACTGACTTGAATTCATATTTCAGGTTTTAAAGCAGTTCAGCATTTTGCTAGTTTAACTTGTGTCCCCTCAAGACGTTTTAAATGTATTTTGTGTATATTTGACTTTTCTGAAGCAAAATATTACAGATAATACTGCAATTAAGAAATAGCATTGGAAGCACATTTATTTGCATAATTTTTCCAGGTTGAATAATGAACTTGAAGGAGACAGTCCAAACTAACACTAGTACTTTTTGAGTCTCAGTAAGTTATGAAGAGGTCTGTTTGTACTATTACGTTTGGGGGTTTTATACAGATTGTTACAGTTATTGCTCAGAATCTTGATGCTTAAGTCTAGCTTTAGAGCTGATGAGATCATCTGACTGGGTGATTTCTTGATCTGAGACTGCACAACAACTTTGAAATTTAAGAGAACGGTGTCTTTATTGGGCAGTCACCTTTCAGAAGGCTGTTTTTTCTCCAATTTTTTAAGTAATTGGTATATATTCCAAGAACCCTTTACCCAAGAACTCATAAGTAGTGCATACAGTAAAAGTAAATAGCTATGTATTTAATAATAGCTGCCTTGTTTAGTTATTGATCCCAGTTTCTTTGAAAATAGCAAAACTTTTCATCGTTGGCTCGAACTCTTCATCGATCAGAGATGCAGTTGACCTGGGTAAGTGTGAAAGTCAGATTTCTGGTAGGGTTTCTTTTTTACTTCAGTATTTAGAAATAAAATGAGAACCTCTTCTGTCTAAGAGGTTGTCCTGGTTTCAGCTGGGATCGAGCTAATTTTTCTTCTTAGTAGCTAAAACAGTGCTGTGTTTTGGATTCGGTGTGGGATTTGTTAGGGGAAGAATGTTAATAATTCACTGGTGTTTTCAGTTGCTGCTAAGAAATCAAGGAGTTTTCAACTTCCCATGTCCTGCTAGTGTGCAGATGTACAAGAAGCTGGGAGGGAGCAGAGCCAGAGTAACGGACTCAAATTTGCCAATGAAATATTCCGTATCATATAACATCAGTGCTCAGTATATAGAGGAGGGATGGCCAGGAAGTGGAGCTCTTGCTTCTGGGATTGTGTTTTGGGAATCTTGGCTTTTCTGGGATCACTAACTGGGAATAGGCTGGGTATTGGTTGGTGGAGTGTGGTGAGCAATTGCATTGTACATTACCCATTTGTATTTTCTGTTGTTATTGTTTATATTTATACTTTCAGTTATTAAACTGTACTTATCTCAACCTACAAATCTCATTGCCTTTACCACTCCAATTCTTTCCCCCATTTCCCGGGCAGGGGAGGGTGAATGAGTGGCTGTGTGGTGTTTGGCTGCCGGCTGGGTTCAAACCACAATAGAAGTGTATTCAGTAACTGTCACAAGTATATCCTGTTAAGAGACACTTAGCTAATCAAGTCTATTTACACGTTAGTTCAGTCAGTAAACGTATTAAAAGTGGATCACTGTAACCGTGGATCCATAATCTCAAATATGTTTCCTTGCTGGAAGCAGGAGCAGGGTTTTATTCTTTCGCACAAAACTTGTTAAAAGGTGAATAGCATGTGATGTTTTAGTAACAGTGATGCAGTAGTTTTTACCAGTTGTTGTTAGTTGTCAGTTGCTTTTGATATGGTGAACTTTGCTACTAACTGCAGTATATCAGAGATTTAGGAAATAAAACAGTGCTGCAGGCAGCTGATGAAATAGTTAAGCCTTACTGAAAATACAGTGACCCTACTGATATGTAAAGTTAGCCTAACATAGCAGTAATTGTGAGCAGCACTGAACTTTATCACTTTGGAAGGCTGTTGGGCATAAGGGGTTACCAAAGAAGAAAGGGTTAGATACTCTTTTCTATTGATACCCCAGTTAATAGCCTCTTTACTGTAAATTGTAGTACCCTTTGTTAAAAATACTCCTCCTCCAGAAGAAAATAATTTATTTGGCCATTTAGTCTCACTCTTTTTGCTGTGCAGAAGGGGTGTCATGTCTTGCACCTTTCCTAAAGCTCAGTGATTCTCCAAGACTTGCCACTTCTCCTTGGCTATTTAAATCTCCATATTCAGTGTGCTTTTAGTCTAACTCCTCACATATATCAAATAGTTTTCCTAGTCTGTGCTCTGTACTTGAGTTGTAGTTCAGAGTGAAAGTTACACATTTTGGAAGAAATAGTGATGGAATCAAGAACTGTATGTCACCACAGTCTTTAGAGAAAAATACAGTTCTAACATTGAAAAGGGAAGAAAAAAAAAAGCTTCATGATTATTTTTGGTGGTGGGATTTTTGTTGGGGTTTTTTTATCCTCAAGACTTACAGTTGAAACTTGGCCTTCAGCTATATGTTTGATTCTTTGCTAAAAACAGTGTTACTGTCCTTGTCTGTTTCTGATACACTCAGTTTCAAATGGTGAATGGGAAGCTAGCAGGGTGAAGCAGGAGGTGTGTGTTTTGCTGAATTTGAAGAGTCATGCTGCTTATGTCCGTATTTCACAAAAGATTTTGCAGTGTCTCTGTTCTTTTTCCTCAGCATGTTCTGCCCTCGGAGTTGCTCAGTTAGACTCAGTCATTATTGCCCCACCTCCCATTGAAGATGGAACTAGCCTCTCCTTGGAGTATTTGCAACCTTATTGGCAAGAACTTGAAAATCTAGTTCAAAACAAAAAGATTGTTGCCATAGGTACCTCTGACCTAGATAAAACACTGTTAGAGCAGCTCTATCTGTGGGCACAGGTGAGCACGAACTTCTTACTTGTAGCATTTCTAAGACAGAGTAACTGTTATTTTGCTGGCTGTCACATTGTTATAAACTTTTTATAATTGGATGTATGTTAATTATCTGTATCTTTCAGCATCTTATGGATGTTCACAGTATTGTTCAAGGTGGGGGAGGCTCAAAGTATGACTGTCACTTGTTCAGTGTTCTTACAGACCAGCAGAGGCTGGAAACCATAGGTCTGTTCAGTAGCAGGTTCTCTGAAGTACTGAAGGTTTGAGTTTTGAATGCTTTGATATTTAGGAAGGAGCATAAACACTACTCTTAAACCTTCAGATTTATTCCTGTGACTCTAAAAACATAGCTTTTCACTTTAAACTGTTATGAATGGAGGGTTTTCCCCTTGGAAAAATACTGTTTGAATGCTAAGCTTAAATGTAAAGAGGAACACAGGCTATGAATGAAGTGTCACAATATTTTGTTGTCCAGAGTGACTAATTGCCTCTTAACATTTGAGTGTTTGAGGTCTGTACTAGTGTGTGCCCATGCTCATGTAAGCTTGTGAATTTACTATTTCCTTATTAGTTATTTGAATGCTGCTCTTACGACATTTCTTTGCTGGTTTGTGAACATACTGTATCTGTATAAGAGGTCAGTGTAAGAGTGTCCCTTTTAACTTAATCTGGTTTAGGCACTTACCTGAAGGCATGGAAGACTGTAAAATATATATCTTTAACAAAAATTTATTTGAATTTTTTTATTTGAAGTCTTTTCAAAATTAATGCCCTAACAATGTTTTTACTAGAGAGGGGAGGGAAAAAGTGCTGCTGTGTAAGGGAGCACAGCACATGGTAAGCCAGAATGTGTAAGTACTCATCTTGCTGTGGCAGCATGTGAAGTTAGATCCTATTCTTGTTTTAGGCTCTGTGCTGCAGGAAATTGCAGATGTAGAGTACCCTGTTCAGCAACATGCAGAATTAGCCTTGTTCAGACCTCAAAACAGTAGTCAAAGGCAAATTGTTCAAAGCAAAATTTGTGTTGTAATAGGGGGCTTGGGGAAAACAACTAAAATAGGTATGTTAACATTTTTTTTTTCTTATAAAATTATTCTGTTTCTTTCAGGTGAAACCAAATAGCAATCAGGTGAACCTAGCTTCCTGTTGTGTGATGCCACCTGATCTCACAGCATTTGCAAAACAGTTTGACATACAGCTGTTAACTCACAATGACCCAAAAGGTGAGGCTTTGCCAGATAAGTTAACAGGTGACTTCTAAACACGTTTATTCAGTACAAAATTGGGAATAATCTTTCTCTGAACTTCAAAGGTCGTTACATTGGAATCCTGAACAAAGGATTCTAAAAGTTTTTCCTCTAAAATGTATTTCTATTAAGTTCTTTTGCTTCAAGAAAGGGGGGAAAAGGCAGTCTTCCAGCCTTGGGTAGTTTCTTGAAATTGTTTTAATCAGAGAGAATGAAGTAATTAGAATAAGATACTGAGAAATTTGTACTACATATGTTCAAAAGTAGCTTATTTCCACAAAACATAGAATGAAATAACAGTTGTATTGCTGAAGGCCAGTAAAATGAAAGTCCAGTTGCCCAAAACTTGTCTGTGAAATGGCTTGCATAGAAATGTTGATGGTCAGTTGATTTTTGTGTAGTTTGGTAATTACATGCTAGACATGTATAAAATTATTATGCTTTAAGCAGGATTCTTTCAAAGCTGTGACTTAAAAATACATTATCACAAAAAGAGTTGGTGTAAATTCTTTACAGTTTTTGTGCAGTGATTCATTTACTAATTGATTGAAGGACTTGGAGCCTTTCCTTTAAACTCTAGAACTCTTAAGTTACCCACTCCCTAGAATATTTTGGGATATTATATTCGTATCTCTCAAACATCATCTAATCTTCTTTGCTATAATGATGTCTTAAATATCTTGCTGGAATTGTAAGCGAGAAGTCTTAAACAATACTTAGTTCATTCCTTCCCTACATTCTTTCTTATGACCAAGTATTCATGATGATCATACTTTTCCTTCCTTCTCCTTTCTATTTGCCCCCCAAAGAAAAACGTATATGAAACGCTATTTATGAAATGCTTGCTTTATCATAACACTGTTACAACTAATGAATTTCACCAATGCTTGGGAATGTGCCAGTACTGCTTTGGCAGCATACAAGATGAATTGCCATTCAATCCAACAATTTCCATATCCTGTTAAGTCCAAAGTGCAACTTGCAATTTAATAAATACTCATTATTGAGTCATGAAATGAAGGAGAAGAGGATTTGGATAGAAAACAAAGCATGTAGTGATTCCCTTATTGTATGTGAAGCTTAGCTTTTTTGTAATGGTCAGCTAAAGAGTATTGAGACTGTCTTTTGGGAACACTCATCAAAGCAATTGTTCCCTTGACTGACTTTCCAGAGGAAACTAGGAGGATTTGTATGTGCCTTCCTTTGCTGCTTTGTGGCATTTAAGCTCATTTTTCTTAATGCTTTCTGGTCTTGTGGTTATGAGCCCTGTTATGGGAGATGCTATAAATGTTGATCTTCCAGTGACTGCAGAGGCAGCTGAGAGTGCTCAGTGCTTTGCTGACTTCAGCCTTATGCTTTACTCACCTCTGGTTAGTCTAGCTAGCTTCTCAAATGTAACTTAACTTTCTTTTCCTGCTAATGGCTCTGCTGATCAACTCCATTTGATATTGTAGAAATCTCAGTTAATTAGTTTTGTGTGAAATACTCAATGTTGAAAAAAAAAAAAAAAGCATCCTGAAGATTTCTTCCATAATATTTAGCTGCTTTTACCCTATGTGCATTCCAGAAGAGGGGATTTGTGGAGAATCTGGCACTGCTTAAGGTTTTTGACTTAGGAAAAGGCTTCTCTAAGTGTTGCTTTTTGCAGCTGTTTACATCACGTTATTTAAAGCATTCATATCCCTTTTTAACTTCAGAATTACTTTGTGAAGCAAGTTTCCAAGAAGTTCTTCAGGAAAGCATCCAGAACACGAAAGCACACGAGTGGATTCCTTTATGGCTTCTGCGGTATTCAGTCATTGTTAAAAGCAGAGGAATTATCAAGTCCAAAGGCTATATCATTCAAGCTAAAAGAAATGCCTCTTAAAACACTTTTTTTTTTTAATGGCTTACTGATTTAATTTCTTGGGGATGGGGGGAACATTGCTTTTTTTTCATGGAAACACTTTTACAGAAATTTTAACAAAGACCAAAAGTTGTAATTATCCAGTGTGGTATCAGCAGGAGTGTCTGTAGTGTTCTAACACTATTTTTCTTTCTTAACCTATTGACCAGTTCATTTAAAATATGAAATATTTTGTGTTTATTGTTTTTAATTGAAATTATCTATAGAGAAACAGTAAAATATTTTTCTTTTTATGACCAGTTCACTGTAAAATTATCATTATATTTTAGCTGCCATTAGGTAGTATAGAGAAGCATATATATTTTTATTTAAAAAAAAAAAAGAATTTCTCTTAAATAATAGTTACTTATCTGGTAGGTACATAGATTTCAAGCATTCAAGGACTAGTTTTTGTAGAAAATTGTCAACTTTTATGAAAAATTACCCAAAAAAATTAAACTGGTATCTCATTACTTGATATGTATATATAGGCAAGCCAGCTGTTTTAATTTGTTTGGATGGGAAAATTGGTTTATTTTTAATATAGCATAAAAGACCACTGATTTAGGAAAAAAAATGCATCTTCCAAATTACTTTCTGACTGTTACTTGAATTCCTTCTGGCTGCTTTGTGCCTCAGTATGCTTTGTGTAGTGTTTGCACAGGTGTGATGGCATCTTTACTCTTTGAAATAGAAAATGTATTCTTGTGTGAATGTTTAAAATAAGAATTGAAAACAAGTGATGAAAAAACATGTTAATCAAAAATTGAATTGTGCCTGTCTTCTCAGCTGTGGCTTGTTTTTTTTGATACTTGTGAACTACACAATCAGAATCAGCCAGGTCAGAACATATAGTAAATGTTGAAGCTGTTCACTATAGGATTGTTTAAAATGGATGATGACTTTGGGGTTGCCTAGGAAACTTTGTGGCTTGAGTGCCATTCGGAAATGATGCAAGCAGGAATTAGCCTGAAGTTAGGTATATTTCTGTTCGGCAGTAGCTTAGCCCGCTGGCTTTTAAATCCTAGGGAAATTGCTGCAGCTAAGGCAAGGTTTAATGAAGTCTTTCTATCAAAAAGGCTTTTTCATTTCCTTGTCCTTTAAATGATAATAGATAGCAAACGCTCAACTTGTAGTTCAGGTGGAGTTTGATATTGAGTGTCTAAAATGCTTATTTTCCTTTTGGTTTCAGGCAGGATCAGACCATACTAGTAGTACTCTAACTTAGTTGTAGATGTTTTGAGATTTGGACTGTAAGGGAATTAATTTTCATCAACATCTTTCAAATTCTGTTACGTAGTCAACTAGTGGAATTTGAATGCCTGTAGGTATTGTCTAGAGTATCATCTTCCTATAATCGATTCCACTAGATTAAAAGATGAATCTTTTTCAAGATACCTTTCAAGTCCTCTAATATGTAGTCTGTAGGTGGCAAATACTGGGAAATTCTCCTGGACTTCTTCAGTTCTTTTGATAAATGAGATGGGGAACTGGAACTAGAAATGCATCAATAAAAGTTTGATTTTTTTTCCTCTAATCAAAATGTAGTCTTTTTTTATTGTTTGGGATGGTGTGTATGAGAGTTTCAAAATGACATGAGTTTTATTTTAAGCCTCCCTACCAGATGTGAGTTGTGTGCTGCTGATGATTAACTACTATCTGTAAATTCTGTTTGGCAGTTGACATTCAGTATTGCGTTACTGAATTTTACAAATTGAAATGCTACAAAACAGGAGTTGTGCTAAAACAATGTATAGGCTGAGCTAATAGGATAACTATTTATTTCCTTTCTGTAAACTGTGAACAGTTTGCTTGCTGTAGAAAAGTACCCTATAAGACACCATAATTTGAAGACATAATAAATTATGTTTCTAGGGCCAGTGATAGCGTAGCGTTGTATCTTAGTAATTTGTTTTGCATCAAAGCGGGAGAGATGAGATTTTCTTCCATGAGAAATTTGAAAGTTTGAATTAAAATTTGAAAATCTTCTAGGCTTTTAATTTGTGCCCTGTACGAATTCTCATCATCTCAGTAACAGTATTTTACACTTTGTCATAAAATGGTCTTGAGCGTCCTCCACTCGGGGCTTTCATCCCCTCAGCCCCGTACGGCCTCTGCCCTCACCGGGAGCGCGGCGGTACCGCCGG